CATTGCCTGCACAGCTGCAGCTCCTCTTCAGATCCAGGCTTCAGAGAATGTAAGCTGCATGCCTTTTGCACCTCCAGCACCACCTGGTGTCTCCGACCCAACCGATCGCCCTGTAATTCGATTGTAGCACGTTACTGATTGTAGCATCCACAGTTTCTACACCTAAACTCACCCCTCCCCTCCCTTGTTTGTCTCTGCCAAACATTGTGTTAGGTTTTGTGTACTGCAGTTTTACCGCTGGTTTTTACCAAGGCAGATCCTCAGGTGTAAGTCCTACACACTCATCCCGCTCAACTTCATGTAACAAATGTGTCGTGCTCCCGAAGAACTCGTAGCACCCATGACACGATGTCATTCTGTTCCTGCACCATTTTTAGTCCATGAGCCGATGACGAGTTGGACGTGATGCTGACGAGCAGCGACCTGCTTCTGTTCACCACAACAGGGTCGATACTGTCACAGCCTGCTTTAGGAGTTACTGGTTTACTGCTTCCATGTCTCACAGGTATCTCTATCTAGTGTTCTGTATATTTTGAAGAGAAAAAAAAAAAAAAAAAAAAATCAGCATGGTTGAAAAAAAAAGAAGAAAAAAAATCTATGCAAGTGTTGCATGAAATCTGATTGTTTCTTTTTACAGTTAAGTATTTTAGTAACGCATTGATTCTGATTCTCCTTGTTGTCTTTGTAGTGATAGTCTTGTCTTTGAGGCTACTCACTCCTCACCACTAACGACACTAATTACGAAAAATAGGAACGCACTCAGTTTATTTATCCACAAACCTTGACATTGGGATATATTTTTCCACAATACTCTGGTTGACACTGTTTGACGCACTTTTTAAAAGTCACTCACAAAACTTGCCCCAGATCAGGCCTATGTTCTTTGGTTTGTTTGTTTTTTTTTTAATTTGTGATAAAAAAGGAATGAGTGGATTATTAAAGCCCTGCATGTCTTAGTTCACCAATTAGCTATTTTCATTATATTTTGGCAGAGTATGTTTTTCAAAGCGGACCAATTTAGCAACTGAGACAGCAGTTGAGGTTTTTCAATTTATGAAGCACAATTTTTACAAGGTTATAATTTAGTTTCCTGTCTTATTCTGTATGCAATACTAAGCCTAACATTGAAAAACTTTAAACGCCTTAGACCATCTGGACTTCCTCTTTTGTGTGAGTAGAAAAAAAAAAATTGCACTACGTTTTTTTTTTTGGGATGGTTGCTTTGTAATGCAATAACTGCACTAAATATAACAATGTACCCACCAGACTACCACAGCGTGCTAGCGTGACCCAACACGCTCTTCCCTCTATTTATCAGAAGAGACAGCAAATGTGTAAAAAGTGAGACATTTCCTGCCTGATGCTGTATAGAATGCTTTCTATTTGAAAATAGATTTACAATGCTGAGTAAAATATGACTAAAACAAAATAAACATGACATTTTATGTACTTTTAACAGTTTGGGTCGTTTTTGTGTTTCACTAGAATACACTTGGAAGTACTTTCCCACTGTAGGGATGGCAGTGTTGGCCTGTCAGTCGGTCCAGTCTAGACTGAAATATCTCAACATTAACCAGATGGTTTGGCACAATGTTACAGACATTAAACATTTTCTAGAAGATTAACCACACTGACACTGTTGCCACCATGAGGTTGACATTCCTGGTTTAAAATTGTATTAAGTATATCTGAAGACACTATAAGGTTTGAATGAATGAATTAAGGTGTTTCTGCGGTGCCTTTAAACACAATGGTAAGTGGTTGCTAGCAGCTGTCTGAAAATTAGATCATCTAATTGTTGGTAATTTGTACATTTAGCACCACAAACGTCAACATGTACAAAGAGCAAACTTCAGGCACATACACATAAAACTGCAGGAGTAATGTGAAGTCTTGATAAAAACAGCTTTTATTGCTTACATGGCTTGTTTATAAAATAATTTTAAAAAGCAACCGGTTCGCTTACTTGACCACATTAATCTTTATTTTCTGTTTGAGTCATTGCTTTATGGAGTGTTTCTTTCACTTCTGTTTTAAGAGATTGTTGGGAAGAATTTGTGAATGGCACTTATCGCCCACCTGTTGACACAAATAATGAATTTTATGAACAAGCCACGCAACCAATAAAAACCAAAAACTACTGCTCCTCTACACAGAAGCGCCTGGAGTTTGTGTTTTGTAAGAGTTTAAAAATTTTTACTTTTTCTCTGTATCCCAACATTTACCCAGTGAACACACCACTATGTTTTCGGACTACCAAAAACAAAAAAAAAAAAAAAAAAAAAAAAAAAAAAAAAACGGGCACAGAGAATGTAAACACAACTAAGAAAGGGAATGTTATCTTTTAAAGGGTGAATTATTTGCCAAACTGCTTGTTTACATCGAGTCATTCACATATTTCAAGCACATGCTGCACAGCTGCAGCTCCTCTTCAGATCCAGGCTTCAGAGAATGTAAGCTTGCATGCCTTTTGCACCTCCAGCACCACCTGGTGTCTCCGACCCAACCGATCGCCCTGTAATTCGATTGTAGCACGTTACTGATTGTAGCATCCACAGTTTCTACACCTAAACTCACCCCTCCCCTTCCCTTGTTTGTCTCTGCCAAACATTGTGTTAGGTTTTGTGTACTGCAGTTTTACCGCTGGTTTTTACCAAGGCAGATCCTCAGGTGTAAGTCCTACACACTCATCCCGCTCAACTTCATGTAACAAATGTGTCGTGCTCCCGAAGAACTCGTAGCACCCATGACACGATGTCATTCTGTTCCTGCACCATTTTTAGTCCATGAGCCGATGACGAGTTGGACGTGATGCTGACGAGCAGCGACCTGCTTCTGTTCACACAACAGGGTCGATACTGTCACAGCCTGCTTTAGGAGTTACTGGTTTACTGCTTCCATGTCTCACAGGTATCTCTATCTAGTGTTCTGTATATTTTGAAGAGAAAAAAAAAAAAAAAAAAAATCAGCATGGTTGAAAAAAAAAAGAAGAAAAAAAATCTATGCAAGTGTTGCATGAAATCTGATTGTTTCTTTTTACAGTTAAGTATTTTAGTAACGCATTGATTCTGATTCTCCTTGTTGTCTTGTAGTGATAGTCTTGTCTTTGAGGCTACTCACTCCTCACCACTAACGACACTATTACGAAAAATAGGAACGCATCAGTTTATTTATCCACAAACCTTGACATTGGGGATATTTTTCCACAATACTGGGTTGACACTGTTTGACGCACTTTTAAAAGTCACTCACTAAAACTTGCCCCAGATCAGGCCTATGTTCTTTGGTTTGTTTGTTTTTTTAATTTGTGATAAAAAAGGAATGAGTGGATTATTAAAGCCCTGCATGTCTTAGTTCACCAATTAGCTATTTTCATTATATTTTGGCAGAGTATGTTTTTCAAAGCGGACCAATTTAGCAACTGAGACAGCAGTTGAGGTTTTTCAATTTATGAAGCACAATTTTTACAAGGGTTATAATTTAGTTTCCTGTCTTATTCTGTATGCAATACTAAGCCTAACATTGAAAAACTTTAAACGCCTTAGACCATCTGGACTTCCTCTTTTGTGTGAGTAGAAAAAAAAAATTGCACTACGTTTTTTTTTTTGGGATGGTTGCTTTGTAATGCAATAACTGCACTAAATATAACAATGTACCCACCAGACTACCACAGCGTGCTAGCGTGACCCAACACGCCTCTTCCCTCTATTTATCAGAAGAGACAGCAAATGTGTAAAAAGTGAGACATTTCCTGCCTGATGCTGTATAGAATGCTTTCTATTTGAAAATAGATTTACAATGCTGAGTAAAATATGACTAAACAAAATAAACATGACATTTTATGTACTTTTAACAGTTTGGGTCGTTTTTGTGTTTCACTAGAATACACTTGGAAGTACTTTCCCACTGTAGGGATGGCAGTGTTGGCCTGTCAGTCGGTCCAGTCTAGACTGAAATATCTCAACATTAACCAGATGGTTTGGCACAATGTTACAGACATTAAACATTTTCTAGAAGATTAACCACACTGACACTGTTGCCACCATGAGGTTGACATTCCTGGTTTAAAATTGTATTAAGTATATCTGAAGACACTATAAGGTTTGAATGAATGAATTAGGTGTTTCTGCGGTGCCTTTAAACACAATGGTAAGTGGTTGCTAGCAGCTGTCTGAAAATTAGATCATCTAATTGTTGGTAATTTGTACATTTAGCACCACAAACGTCAACATGTACAAAGAGCAAACTTCAGGCACATACACATAAAACTGCAGGAGTAATGTGAAGTCTTGATAAAAACAGCTTTTATTGCTTACATGGCTTGTTTATAAAATAATTTTAAAAAGCAACCGGTTCGCTTACTTGACCACATTAATCTTTATTTTCTGTTTGAGTCATTGCTTTATGGAGTGTTTCTGTTCACTTCTGTTTTAAGAGATTTTGGGAAGAATTTGTGAATGGCACTTATCGCCCACCTGTTGACACAAATAATGAATTTTATGAACAAGCCACGCAACCAATAAAAACCAAAAACTACTGCTCCTCTACACGAGAGCGCCTGGAGTTTGTGTTTTTGTACAGTTTAAAAATTTTTACTTTTTCTCTGTATCCCAACATTTACCCAGTGAACACACCACTATGTTTTCGGACTACCAAAAACTACTTCTGCTATTTTCATTGTTGACAGTGTGGTCATGCAGATGGTTAGTGTTTCGCATAAAATATTTAGACAGTTCAGACCGACAGATGTAACTCAAATTTGCTGTATTTACTTCATACAAATGTTTATATTTAAAACAATGAACTGCAATTTAGCCAGTCGATGTGTCTGAAGTGAAAACAGTAGCCATTACTTCTGGCATTGGTCTCTTAAACAGTCAGGAAACTCAAATGGTAATGGTTAATAAGACAGCAACACAGTACTCTCTACTCATCTACACTTGCATCTTGGCTGGTATTTATCACGCTTGATAATTATTGAAGAGCAGCATCTTTACAGTCCAGCTCATCAGCATCCTGCTAAGTGATCCTGGACCTGTGCTCTTATTCACAGAAGCATAACAAATTTCTACCTCTGACTTTTACATTTACACATTTTCCAACTGAGTAAACAGATTCAAATTCACAGACATCGATAAGAAGTGCTGTGATTATCTCTGCACCAGTTAATGTGTCTGTTTCTACTCGCACACTGGGCCAACAGACAAAAACAGACTGACAAGAATCGGAGGGAAGGTGTGAAACAACTGAAGACATGGGCAGAATTAACTTGTGGACCATATCTCGACTGCAGAAAAAGAGAATCGGATATTGTGTGAAGATGCAACATGACAAAACAGTCTGAACCAGTCGGAGTAAATCAGGCAAAGATGGTCTCCTCGCGTCTCTTCTTGGTCAGGATGGTTCCCGGTTTGTGCTGAGCGTCTGGGTGGTTGGCCAGCTCTGGAGGGCAGGTGGAGACCGGGCTCTCGAGGATGGCCTGCTTCAGGTCATAGAACACAGCTGAGTCCTCTTTGGTGAGGAAAGTCATGGCCACACCACTCTTACCAGCACGACCTGTACGACCAATACGATGGATGTAGTCTGCGGGAGGAGAAAGAGGAGAGGAAGAAGAACAGCACTTTGTTAAAAGAGTGAAATGATTACGAAACAATGGCTTAATGGGTATTTTAATTGAATTATTTATATGTATTGTATACTGTGCGTTTTCTATTCAGAACAACAAGACTGTTTTCAACAAATAAATATAAAATTAAGAAAAAACATGAGTGCTGAGGAAACACTGTGCACTGAGTGAGGCCTCTTACCTTCAATGTTCTTAGCCATGTCGTAGTTAATGACCATCGAGACGTCCTGGATATCAATACCTCGACCAGCAACGTCTGTGGCCACCAGAATATCTTTGGCTCCTGCCTTGAGATTGGAAAGCGCAAACTCTCTCTGCTCCTGGCCTTTGCCACCGTGCAGCGTACACGCATTGTACTGTAGGAAGAGGAGGAGACAGTTCAGGTTACATTTTTTTGTACGGTTTTAGTATTTTAGCAAATGGACACCAAGGTATTTTAGAGAGTGTAATCCGGTGCTTCCCACAGTGAGTGCCACTGTACGTTTTGATGAATATTCACCATACAGCTCTGAAATCAGCTGTGTGAAGCTGTACTTGGGCACAGTGGTGCTTTCAACTAAATGCTAATGTCAACATGCCAACAGTGACAATGAACACCAACAAGAGGTTGTTTAGGTGGTGCAGCAACATTTGCTAACTACCACTACCAATCCAAATATTTGACAAGTTAAAAATGTGAAACCATGTTTGCACTGGATTTCATGGTAGTCCATCCATTACTCCTGCTAGCCACAGCAGCTAGGAAGTTCATCAACTTATGATGGGCATGTGTCAATTTTAGCTAAAGTGAATTAATGAATTATTCTTTAATTAATGATTCTGCCATTTATCGTGGCCCAGCCACAAGTTAATTGATTAATTACATTCATATGAATTATTGTTAAATAAAGCTGGGAAGTACTGACAAAAATGAGACATACGTGTTAATTAACTCATGCGCTTAATATATAATTCTATTTTATTTTCTGGTTTTCTTCTTTTACCATTAGGAAGGTGAAAACGGTGTAATTTCATTTCCGTGCCATTAAAAACGGCTTTGAAAGTCTTCAGTTTAATTTGATGAACTGTGCAGAAACCATGCAAGGCATTTCGTAAAAAACTTCATGGTGGCTCCAGAGGGAAAAAAAATGGAGTCACAAAAGTCATTAGGACTCACTGTCTGGGGACCATGTACGGTGGGCAGCCCTCGCCTAAACTAAATGGTAGTATTTCCAGTAGGTGAGAACACGTCTCACACAATGATTTGTATTCATGTAAAGCATCTTTGAGTACCCTGACAGGTGCTCTATAAATAAAATGTATTATTGTTACTATTATTACTGGATCAGTAAAAACAACCTGCTGGTGACACTAGAGGAAGAGTCACAGGATACTAGTTAATTCCCTGACACCCATGAATGTCTGTATATTATAGCAGTTATCAAGATATTTCGGTAGAAATATTGTATAATTTACATGAACTACATTTTCATATGAAGTTTTTAAATGCATCAAACAATGAAACCTTGGTTTGGGAAAGTTGTGGTCTAGTCTACTATGGCTTACCCCCATTTTCTCCAGAGACTTGGCCAGCACATCGCAACCCTTTTTCTGGTTGACAAAGATAATGATGGGAGGCTCGAAGCCGTGCGCCAACACCTCCAGCAGCTTCTTCCTGCACGACACAAAACCCAGAAAACACTCAGCATGAGACCTTGACAGAAATAAATGAGATGTTTGGTGTTTACATTTTGTGTCTGTCTCACCTCTTCTCTCCCTCTGACATAAGCAGGACCTTCTGTTCGACTCTCTCGTGAGGTTTGCCAGCAGACCCGATGTACACCACAGCAGGACGTCTCAAGTAGCTCCTGGCCAGTCTCTCCACAGCTGGAGGCATAGTAGCTGTGAACATGACCGTCTGCAAGGTGCAATCAAATACACAGTTAGAAAAAAACAGATAAAAGTGTGAGCACCTGGCACCTGCAGAAGAGTCTTGTTTATAAAGATGTTTGCAAACGCTTGACAGATAAACATACTTGTCTGTATTTATGTTTTCCTGATTCAAAGTTCATCATCATTTTCTCAGGGTCCTCTGCTTCGTCCGTGTCTGGTTTCTGATTGGTCACAGGGATATACTCCAGAATCTTTTGGACGTCGGGCTCGAAGCCCATGTCAATCATACGATCGGCCTCATCGAGTACCACGTAGGTACAGCGGCCCAGGACCAAGTACCGGTTCTCCAGCACGTCAATCAGACGCCCAGGGGTGGCGATCACAATCTGTTGGATGAGGTAAACAAACATACAGTCGGTGAATGTGTTTTGTGTACATAGCATTATTACCTTACTACTGTAAAAACAAGATTAGAAAAAGGTATGTGTGTATGTGTCTGAAATTCTGTTTTTGTTTACATTGTTATGGTCTCTAAGCTGTTTGTTTACATTTTGGCAAGTTTTCACATTTAAAATATGTCGAATTAGCTTTTAGCAGTTCCTGTGCACTATCACCATGACTTTACTGACAACTCCCCACTGGATTACTTTGATCCTGAAGAAAACTTTCAAATGTGATGAGTATCAGGTGAGCTCTGGAATTACAAGGAACTCCTTCTATCTTGTATTTCTAGGCAGATTTAAGGAGTTTTTATCCTGACATCGCAAGACCAATTCACATTTGAGCTGACTGACTGTTGTCTGTCATAGCTAAAAGTCCTTAGCCTGGAAACCAGACCAGAGATATTTATATCCCCAGAGTACAGGTTCTGCAGAGCCTAACTGTATGTGCACCATGTCTGTGTGTTCTTATTTTACATCCTTAGTTAAATTATCTAGTTACTGTTTCGTGTCTTTTTTTAAGTGTAATTGCTGGATGTTTCACCTCACAGCCCATCCTGAGACGGAAGCCCTGGTCCTCTCTGGAGATTCCTCCAATCACAGCCACCGTACGGATGCCGAGCGGTTTACCGAACTTTATGGTCTCCTCTTCAATCTGCTGCGCCAACTCACGAGTTGGGGCCAGGATCACAGCATAAGGACCCTGGTCTGAGTCTTCAATCCTGTCCAGCAGAGGAATATAACAAGTCGTTATGTGAGTGAAAAGACAAACAAGCCAAGTTTATTAAATCATAGGTGGTTTTACCTGTCAATTTTTGGCAGGGTGGTAATCCAGACGAGCAGTGGAATCAGGAAGGCAGCCGTTTTACCGCTACCTGTCTCAGCCACACCAATGATGTCACGGTTCTGTAAGCCAATAGGAATGGCCTGCCTCTGAATAGGTGTTGGATCCTGAAGAGAAAAAAGTATCATTAGAAATTACATTCACTTTGCCCAAAGACATTTAGTGTGCACTTGCGTAACTGAGTTAGTCTGCTTTTTCCACCAAGCTGATTCCTTAAATGTTGTGTAAACAAGAAACCTGGTATCCTGGCATCTTAGGGATTAGAGAAACCTGATTTCCACAGGTAAAGCCAATCCCAGTTGACACTGTGCGAGATGTGGGATACACGCAGGACAGGTCATCAGTCTATCAGAGGGCTGACTTGTAGAGACCACTCTGTATTGCTTTTATGAAAACGTCAACACAGTGACTCTGTGATCTGACCTTGTAGCCACATTTGTCGATGACCTCCAGGATGTGTGCAGGCAGCGGGTACTCCTTCCAGTTTCTGATGGGGTTCGGGATTTTCCCTCCCTTGGTGGTGATGCTGTAATCCTCTCTGAAGATTCGCCAGTCTCTGTCCGTCATCTCATCCAGTTTCTTCTGGGACCAGTGTCTGTCGTCCCAGCGCTGCTTGGCCTCCTTTTTACGCATCTTCTTCAATCTCGTCCTGAAAGCAGTAGATAATAAAGATTAGATAGTTTGTTCTTTCGTTTTTTCTTTACTTAGATTTTAACACTTGAAGTTGCTTTTGAAAAACGGTATGCTCCTTTAAGCCGCAAACAGAGCTGATCACTTCGATGCTTTACTCACTCTTCCTGCTCCTTCTCTTCCAGCGTGCGCCTTTTCTCCATCAGGTCACCATAGAAACGTGACTGCTCTCTTTTCTGCTGCTTCAAGTCGATGCCAGCGATGAAGCCTCGTCCATACAGCTGCACCTGATGCTTTTCTTTGTAACTGGGAGACAGATCACATTGTTTAGACTGCTGCACATTCTAGCAAAACAAAACCTGCTTCGGTTCAAGAGATACATTTTCAAATGACACAAGACATTCATGCTGACTCACATTGGGTTGTAGTCGACTGACGTGTCTTCAGAAGCATCCCACTCAAACACAAACTTCCTGTCATTCAGATGACGAGTTCTCCGACGTTTCTTGAGCCCACCAAGGTAACGCTCCTGCAAAGATTAGATATTTACTCGTTTAGTACATTATACATCCATTCATTCATCCATTCTCTGATGCAGCAGGCTAAGTAAGGTAATCCACACGTCCTTCTCTCTAGCAATGTTTTTTTCTTTATCTAATATTTTATTTTGATGCATTGTTTGATCATAAATACGAACCACAGATGGAAAACCTTTGAACAGTTAAGGTTGCAAACCTGATTAACAAAAGTTAACAGGTCAGTGACACATTACATTTTGTGCTTTCAAGTGCCATGATTATTTGTCTTTGATTATGAATATAAACTGGATATTTAACTGTCTCAAGGGTGTAGTTTCAGGTAAGAAATTTAGAGGTTAATTAGAAGACTAAAACTGCTCAAACACACAAGACTCAAATTAATGTAAATCTGTACAAAATTTAAATTTCACACAACTATCTCTACACAGCCGTAAACAACTTCTTCTCCTTGGACAAACCTTGATGGCCTGGAGCTCTTTGCTTTTATCTTTCTCTTCTCTGAGCTTTTGTCGTCCATCATCCTCTTCATTCCCATTGTTCTCTCGCTCCATTCGCTCTCTCCGCTCTCGTCTCTCCCTTTCCTGGGGGTCCTCTGTAACAGACAGTCCCAGTTACTATCAACACATTTTATCGTATTACAAAATGCAGATTGTCTACCACTGAACGGACAAGAAGATGATACACACCCAGCATTTTTCTCCCTATGTCCTGGAACATCCTTCTTTTCTTCCTCTCCTCTTCCAACAACCTCTTCCTCTCTTCTGTCTGTTGCACTCTCCGTTTCAGAGCCTCAGCTTCTCGCTCTGCTTTGGACAGGAACTTGGGCTGAAAAGGACAAATTAAAAAATAAGTGAAAAAAGAAACAATCATGGGCCTAAAAATGAAAAGAAAATGTATATCTCAGGGAACTTCCCACCTTTGCCTCTGCTTCCTCTTCTGCCTTTTTTTTGGCCAGAAGCTCCTCTAAAGATAGGGGCTGGACCTGAACAGAAGACAACACAAGTTTATTTATATAGCACCATTCAGACAAAAGGAAATTAGGCAAATGTGAATAATAAACATTCAAATAATACATTTTAAGTTAACTTTGTCTTTAGGATGAAAATTTTTTTTTGTAAGTGTCCACTTTTCTATTCAGAAGCAACACAGATTAAATACTTAAAATAAACAACCTAAGAAATAATGTAACACTGTGAAACCAGATTCATACCTTCTCTTTCTTCTTTTTTTCATCTTCCTCCTCCTCTGTTTTTATATCCCTCTCTCGCTTTACCTTGGAATCCTTTGACTTTGGTGAGAGACTCCTTTAAAGGAGAAAGACAGACAATGTTTAACAGGTGTAATTACCCTCTTAAGCACCAAGTTGGATATATCGGAGCTTTCATAAAAGTCCTGAGTTTCCCTTTCATAGTTTCAAGCTGGATGTTGACAAATTTTATTTACAAGTTGGGAATTGGTAAGTACAATAAATGCCAATGATCATACAGTTATAAGAGAGTCTTCTGAGTTCTGTGGGCAAAACATCACAACATAAAGCTAAATTGAAACAAACAACATTCTCAATTTTTCTAAACATTTTGCTCAAAGAAAGTGAATCCGTATCCCACTATAAAATAAAAATCCACTTGACTTGACTATTTACATGTCATCTGTCCATCTCCATCTCACAAAGCTATATATTTCAGCATTCACATACCTGGACCTCTTGCTGCGGTCTTTATCACGTCGATGGCCATCTCTGTCCTTGCGGCTCCTGTCTCTGTCCTTATCTCTGTCACGGTCCTTGTCTCTATCCTTGTCTTTTGTGCGACGGTCTCTGTAATTAGGAAACAAATCAGATACAATATTTTCTTTATTTCAACAACTGACAAACTGAAACTTGGTCACGCAGAAATTAAAATACAAATTGAATATTAAGCTACAATGTTAAAGGTGGGTTTGTGCCTTTGTGTTTTGGTTACCTTTCTGCAGATTTGGAGCGATTTCTTTCACGAGAACGATGGCGCTTGCGTGAAGGTGAGACTTTGCGGTCTCTTTCTCGTGAACGGCTGCGTTTCCTCTCCCTGTCTTTGGTCCCTGAGGAATCTGCATCCTTTTTGTCTGTGGAGTCGGCTGCCATCTGGAAACACAAATGGTATGGATGGTAGATTTGTCAGGAACTTGTACTTTAAGTGCATATTTAAAATTAGTCATTTACATTCACTTGGGTAGGCAACTAATAAGGTATTGTAATCTATTTTTTATTATTACATGATAACATTCAAATTTGCTTTGAACACTTTTTCTTCATTACATATTTGAAAAACTTAATGCCTGACCATCCTTTGTAGTACACCAAACATATTCACTATATTACACAGTATCCCAAAATAAAAGACCAAGAGCATTTTCTCTCAAAACAGCTGATTGTTATTAGGAAGTTGTGCATTGATATAATTTAAACCTTTAACTCTTTTAAAGAAAATTTCCAAACAATTGGGGGTGGATAATTGACAGCCAGTCCAAAAAAGCAAAAATACGTGACATAAAAGCATTACATGTGCGAATTACACGATGCTTCGACTTGAACTGCTCGTTTGGTGGGTTTTAACTACTACTACTGCATCTGAACCTGTATTGTGAACGTTAGCAAGAATCTACACATATGTATTTAGATTTGCAAGTGTACTGAGATTTGTGCATTTGTAAAAGAAATTGTAAATGTCTATACAAATCTGATCTAAACGCGAGTAAGATCTATATATGCATATATGTGTAAAAAGCTGCAAATATATACACTAAAAATCTGAATGTAAATGTTTATTACATAATTAATATATTTTATTATAGTTTAAATTCGCTTTCAAGTTGAATATTGTCCATGTGTGTTTTTGGAAATACGCAATACAATACACAATCCTAAAAATCATAACATGGGTGATGGATTTCGTTCAGATATATGCCAGTTTTTACTCCTGAAAGTTCATGTTTATCCGCTTTTCATTTTGCTATCACAGAGAGAAACTATGCAGCATTGACGTTAATAGTTGAGTTAAGGATTCGGGTTTGCACGTCATTGATTTTAAGACAAATTGACTTTTAATACGAGACGTGATTAACTAACAAAACAAAGTAGCTGAGTCTTTACATAATGAATGCAGTGGATAGCGTGAACAAGCTAGCTCCTAACATTAGCTAACAACTTAGCAAAAGAGCTAACCGTCTTTCATAAACTGCTCAAACCTGGAACATGTAAAACCTCATTCAAGCCAGACGCTTGCAGGTAATGAAACGTAGCAGGGTGATGTGTGGTATACAACATTTAAAACTTACCTTTTTCACTTGTCAACAAAACACTTGCGATTTAACTACGCTTCAAGAAGACGCCATATCGCCCAACACGAGCCGAAGCAAGCGCGTGGTTCTGGGAATTGTAGTACTTAGCGTTCCATGAAGAGTGGAGGTAACGGGTTTTAAACTACATTTCCCAACAAGCCGGGTGGATTTTCTCAGGGCCCCGATGTTTTGGCTCATGAACATCTAAATGCCTGATCGAAAATACATTTCTGAGTCTAAACATTTTCCAAATCGAGCACTAGGTGGCAACCATGTTACAAGCTACAACGACCCTGATTTTCTTTCTACAAATATGATAAAAATAACTGTTCCAGGCACATATTTCACAGATTTCAAATTAACAGTTTATCAATCTGTCTATCTATCTATCTATCTATCTATCTATCTATCTATCTATCTATCTATCTATCGTACATCAATATCACTCAAATGTTAGGTATATACAGTACAAATCCTGTCCTACAACTGTGCTTCAGTTTATGTTCAGTAGCCAGAAGGTCTGTAACCAGTGGCAGCTTCGTTATTTCCCAGCTTCTCGAATGTGAATATTTGCTAGTTTCCCAAGTTTCTATGATAGTAAACTCAACATTCAACACTTTGGGTGCTTGACTATTGGTCAGACAACACAAGCAAGTTAAATATGCTAAGTTGGGCTTCATGGAATAATGATGGGCATCAATTAATTATTAATGAAAATAACTGTCAGGTGTATTGATAATGAAAGTAATTGTTGGTTGCAGCCTACTATTATAATGGAAGAATACAGCCTTGCCCAAGGTTTTCTGTGGGTTAATTACTTGACAGAGAAAAAAATTTAAGCTCTTTGATAAAAATACAACTTTCCAGCCAAAAAGCACAATATAAACTAAAGCAATTAAAGGAGCTATTTGTGAGTTTTGCTCTTGCTACATATCCAACGTTAGCATACAACAGCTGTTTAATTACCAGTCTTGCCTAGAGCTTCAACCATTGTTGCGTTTACAATACAAGAGGTTAGCCTTCAGGGCTGAAGGTCTGTCCAGACCGGGGGATAGCTGATTAACATGCTAACTTTAGTAGAAGATAAGAAGAAAAAAGCCAGACTTGACAGTGGTTTTGCTTTCCACTGCTGGAGATAGCTCTTGGCTAGTAATAGAATGAAGTTTGATACTGAACTCGCAACATTTCTTCTAGACTGGTAAGTGTGTTAATGTGCTGTTGCTAATGTAATGCTAATGTTGGCTATGTAGCGAAAACAAATCTTACAAATCCAGCTCCTTTAAGGCTCTTTTAAGGTCCTAAAACTAGATTCTGACAGAGGCTTTCTGTTAGTTGATATTGTACTGGATAATGGTATGAGTTTCTGCCAAAAGTGCAATTAATTAAATAATTTAGACCCAAATAATATGAAGTAAATCTTTTTTTTGGGGCCCTAGGCAGTTGTTCATTTTTCCCAGTTGGTAGGCTAATCCAGTCTTGATTAACAGCATTTATCTGGAAAGACAGATTAAAGAAGAATGGAAGAAACAAAGACAAAAAGTTTAATGTAATGTAATTTGTAAAATGCATTCATAAGAAAAAAATGATAAAAAATAATATGCAAAACAATATGGATGCAAAATTAAAAACAAATAGCTTTTAAGAGGTAACAGCACAGAGAAATCGCCAGTCTAAGTCCATTTGCCAGAACTGAAAAACCAAACCCGAATCTTTGTAATCCAGTGGGGTGGTCTCTTATTAGTCTGCTGTTTACCTGAAAGAAGACTAAAAGGCCTGCAGTAGGAGCCAGACCTATCAGTCTGTTGTTGACCACAGACTATATAGCGCAACCATGATGAAATGGGTCTGTCTGCTCAATACCACTTATAAACATGTAGCCTCTGCAACATATTAATATTCAAGAAGTGCCGTTAGTGTAGAGACCAGATCATGTTTTTCCTGTAATCTAAACCATCCTCTGTTGTATATGTGTACATGCTTCTGTAAATAGATAAAAAGACATTTTAGATGCTGCTACGCTTGTCTGCAGTCTATAGTGGCTCAGTGCTGGTTCATATTCTGGACCTGCTACTTCATCCACAGGGAGATGAAGAGAGATTTATGGAGCCCTTGTGAAGGTGAAGCAGTTTCAGTAGCAACAGATCAAAGTTGATGGTATAAAAAACAAGCACACACACAATGGATGAAGACACTGGAGAAGAAAACAATGAACTGGTTAGATAGATAGAAGTCAGAGTTTGTATTTTCTATACTGACCTGTGGTCATTAGTTTTTCTTTGTTTTTCCAATAAGCTTTTAATGGATAAGTCCAAACAAGTCTGAATAAAGGGATGAAAGGAGGATGAAAGCTGCTCATGAAATGAATTATGAATTTCCTTTATCTCATATTGTAACTACTAATCTGCTAAGGGCTATGTGTTCTTTAATGGTAGAGAAGGTGTCCCTCATTGGCCTTTTTCAAAGTAGATGATTTGATTTGTTATAGCAGGAAAAGCACAGGTGTTAATAATGACATTAACAATGGCTCTGTTCCATTTAGGTGTCCCAATAAGCCATGACAGTGAGCCAGCATGCATAATACCATAGCCCTGAAACTTAAACACCTAAATGTCATGCAGACATGATGAGGTTTATTAATTAAATCTGTGCTTTTCCTGGTTCCTGGCATGTTAAAGTGTCTGCAATGAAAAAGGTCTATTCTGTCTCAAGGATTGACATTTTTAATGATATTATTTTTCAAGGCCTGCTAACACTAGGTAATAAGCCTGAGACCACCTAACAGCAAGACAGAAATATGCTCATGTCTCTGACCAGGGTTTGAGAAACTCTGGCCTGGACCTACTAGTCTCTGTGATCTCTATTGTTCTCTGTAGCTTCATTTATGCAATGTCGACAGAATGGGAAGAACAAGAAAAATACCCTTTATTCCAGCTTGGAAATGTTCCCACATTCTTCCAAGGTGGTTAGCCACAGTGCTAATCATACCGTCACGTTAGATAAACAGCAATTGTTCTTCTTTTTTTGTGTTACGTATTTTTGTTACAGTTTGTTACCATGTGAAACCAGATACAAGCAGTGTACCACTCGTAAAAACGGCTGATATTGGATTTTATTTTTGATGAAACTGCTTGTTGTGGTGCATTTGCAGCCATTCTGCCAATAGTTTGTTCATGTCTGTGCTTCTTTTCACCAAGTGGGAGATATTGCTGTCAGAAATTATAACTCGAATGCCGACATGAATCTGGTCGTATTTATGGTTTAAATGATATGCGGTGAATGCAGTATAATCCTATGTTGCACAATGTTATACAACTAGGATAAAACAAGCCTTGACTTCTTAGGCAGACTTACAGCTGGGTTGAGCAAACAAGTACAATAGGCTTTTATCACAGCAGACATTTTGACTTCTCACAGTGAGAAAAGGACGTGTGTAACTAATAACAGGGAGACTAGCAACCACTGTGTGGAAGCTAACAAGGATCCAAATAAAATAATAAAGACATAAACTTTTTAATAGATGCTTTTCTCTATTAAGATGCCCCAGGAAGCCATGACTGTGAGAGAGCATGCACGATACGAGGTCCCTGACACTGAAGTAACTATTAGGATTCAGCCATCCTTAATTTAATTATTTACGCCTGAGTGTTTCCCGCTGTAACATAAAAAGGCCCTTTACAACTGAGCAGAGGTCTTATCAGCCTGGATACGTGAAAACACCTGTGTGAGTGTGCAGGACCTTTGAGTCACTAAATGTAATGCTGTCCAAAGGTAATATTAATTTGAAAGAGAAAAAAAATGTAGATTAAAAAAAGTGAACGATATGACTTTCTTTAGCTGCGGTAAGTGTGTTTGCATTAATGTTCTCTACATTAACTCTCTGTGAATTATGGTATAAAATGTACTTTTTATGATACCTTTTTTATTTCTTATACAGTAATGCTTTTACGTAACATGCATGTAATGTTTGACAGTAGCAGTAATTATGTAAGTAAAATACAGAAACATTCTTCAGTAATATAGTATAGATATAATTTCTATTACCCTATTGATTTATGCTTTTATTATAATTACTACACATTAATATAATTAGAGATTGAGCCATGAAGGTGTATGATTTATGTAATGTTGCTGGCAGAAGTTTAATCAAATCAAATCAAGTTTATTGTCATTTTACCATACATCTCTGTACAAGGCAGAGTGAGGGAATGTTTCTCTGCAAACATTTAGGAAAAACACGTTCATGCATTGGACATGTCAAAGTGGCATTGTTTCTAGTGTTGACATTTTGTGCTGACATACCTCACTCTCACAAAAACACAGTGTCTTCAAACTTTGGAGCTTCACTGTTGCCATGACTACCCTACATCTGCCATTATATGTATAATATACAGTTGCGCTTAGTGAGTAATGTACTGAGTGAGGATTTAGTACAACAGCTGAATCAGAAAATGCTCATTATCATTACATTTATATGATCTTTGTATGCTACTGCTTTATCTTTGGTGTTTCTACAGTGAAGATGCAGCAGAGCTACAGTGATAAGAGGCAGGCAGATGACGAGAGACATGGGATGACATTAGATAAACATGCTCAGTCACAGTTAATTGTAGATTTTCCTGCACAGAGCTACTTTGTTTTTTGTCTTTAGGTGAGCACAGTGTGCTTAAGAAGAACATGTAGTGTTAAAAGCTGGAGGAACACATCTTATAAAGAGAGAAACAACCAATTATTTGTGTAAACAGGCAAACAAATATTAAAATTCAAACTTTGTTACCATCAAAAGTCTCCAGCTTTCTACATGTTTTGATTGTTTCACAGCTGGTGAATGATTCTTCAGGTCCGGAAACAACTGCTTTCAGCTGGTGTTGTGTAATGTTGACTATTACCTAATGTGGATCACTAACAGCTGACTATTGATAACAGTTAAAGTTAGGCTTTGTGTAAGCAAAGAGATCGATTTTAGAGGCTTGACAAGTCATGTTGTTTAGGGTCAATTCTTATGGTCAACACACTTTTGAATTAAAGATATAACACGGAAAAGACTCCACTAATTGGAAAATATTTACCAGTTATG